TATTGGAATTAAGCCATGACCCTAAATCCCAATACGACACGTGATGAGCAAGGGGGGGTCCAAAATATCAAAATCCTCTCTTAGGTAATTTTACTGCCTACAACATACTACATTTGGTTTTCAAAAGGGTGGTCCGGAAAGATTCCATTGGTCAAAATGCAAAATAGTGATGACACAAGGTGTTCGCGATATACGCATGTCCTGCCCTACCGGTAGCACCGGGCACCCACAATCTGCATAAGCATTCTCAAGGACGTGATAGGTCTCTTGGCAAATGCTGGAATAAACCTCAGGTTTTAGAATATAAATAGCTCGTGGTTACTGACGACATTGTTTGGTTCCCCCACTCGTTGCAGTGAGTGTCAGGAGAAGTAGTCTGTCTTTAAATGTACTTCTACGTGCACTGATTATACGTTCAACGTTACCAGATTACCTGTCCGACGTATAGGTCAGCAGGCTTGGATATCTCGTCAAAGCCTCTGAAACTGAAGGTAAATTATGTCTGACATGCATACGGCTTAACTAACGATGGCTCAAGCCTACAGTTGCCAGAAGAGCCTGGACAGATTACTTGAAGGCAGTCATGTTCTTTGATTCTGCTGGTTAGATGTTTTCTTAAGACTGATCGCGTTGTGGTCCAGTTCAGTAGACGCAACTACGTACATGCTTTGTCATATGACATCATGACACCAGGTGTCAATAAACGGCATGAATCAAGCTATAATTACAGTAATATTAAGCGATGGCACATGTTTTCGCGAAATGGGATTAGTCATCGTAAATTAAGTAATGACGCAAATACGTACATGCTTTGTCATATGACATGATGAAACCAGGTGTCAATACACGGCATAAATCAAGCTATAATTACAGTAATATTAAGCGATGGCACATGTGTTCGCGAAATGGGATTAGTCATCGAAAATTAAGTAATGACGCAAATACGTACATGCTTTGTCATATGACATCATGACACCAGGTGTCAATAAACGGCATGAATCAAGCTATAATTACAGTAATATTAAGCGATGGCACATGTTTTCGCGAAATGGGATTAGTCATCGTAAATTAAGTAATGACGCAAATACGTACATGCTTTGTCATATGACATGATGAAACCAGGTGTCAATACACGGCATAAATCAAGCTATAATTACAGTAATATTAAGCGATGGCACATGTGTTCGCGAAATGGGATTAGTCATCGAAAATTAAGTAATGACGCAAATACGTACATGCTTTGTCATATGACATGATGACACCAGGTGTCAATAAACGGCAGGAATCAAGCTATAATTACAGTAATATTAAGCGATGGCACATGTGTTCGCGAAATGGGATTAGTCATCGTAAATCAAGTAATGACACAAGGTGTTCGCAAACTGAATGAACCACGCACTAGTCATCGTAAATCAAGTAATGACACAAGGTGTTCGCAAACTGAATGAATCACACAGTAGTCATTGTAAATCAAGTAATGACACAAGGTGTTCGCAAACTGAATGAATCACACAGTAGTCATCGTAAATCAAGTAATGACACAAGGTGTTCGCGAACCGGATGGATCCAGGGGGCCAAGTGTTCGCTAAATGGATGAGTTACGCATTGACTATACTAATATTTAAATGATGACACAACTGAAGGTGTTCGCGAACCGGATGGATCCAAGGGGCCAAGTGTTCGCTAAACGGATGAGTCACGCATTGACTATACTTATATTTACATGATGACACCGGGTGTTGCATGTGCAAAGTTTTGTAAATTTTGTTTTGCATGTGTAAATCATTAATGCTTGTAAGCATTACGATTTTGCCTAACCTCTGATTCTTTTCAAGTGACACACACACAAGCTTGAATACCCCTGAGGTACCGGCGGTTTGACTTGATAACACTTCAAATGAAACACTTCTAACATTGGTCCAGATAAGGAAACTATGATGTCGCTATGGCGTCATGTTGTTTCACCTAATTAGATGTACACACGTATTGTATTATCAGAAACGTCAAACGTAATTATTCGTGTTTTCTGTGATCGCCGACAATGTTGCTAATGATTATTCTTTAACCGAGTTTTGCTTGCCGGGCATAAAGCCTGATCAAGTTGCACTGTCCACAACCGTTACTTGCGCATCATCCAACAAGATCAGATACCTTTGTATATTGTGAACTGAGCTTTTTCTTTGGGTTATTTCATGTTTCAACTGGTGAAAAATAAATAACGTGCCAGCTTACTCAAATATTTGTTAAAACGATAATTTAATATAAAAGCTAAACGATAACCGTAATTGTTAAAAAAACATAGAATTGCAAAACAATGAACTTTCTTTTCAACACTTATGGATTTTTTATAGGATATGGTATTGCTAGTGTGACTCATTATTCTTCGAGGTTTTGTATCGGTGGATATTCATAATAACTAGAAAAGTGGCCATCTTCATAGTCATTGTTACGAGGTGGTACCGTTGGAAAGCAGTAATCAATATATGCATTAACTAAAATACTTTCTGGAATAATATATTTGTATACGTGCGTGAGTGAGCAATTCTACAGTGGATACCAAGACTGTACTTTATACTTTGTAACCAAAACCCCTTCGGCGTGACCATAGAACGTTTTAACCACTCGGCGCCTGTCACCGGGGCGTTGATTGCCTCATGTTACGGTCTTGTGAGTGCTCGGTTCCTGGCTTTATTTCCGGCGCTGCTCGGCAATGTCCGGCGGTCGCTATCCTACAGTGTTAGTACATTTTGTGTCAGAGATTTAGTGGCCCGAATATTTCATTCTCTTGTAATCTAATGGCACTCTCAAACCATGTTTTGACTGGATGTAGTTTATCTGTTATATTTTCGCCACCGTATTCTTGTCTTTGAAAGGCATTAAGAAACGATACAGATAAGGAAGAGAATATATGGATGTCAACTTCTTTATTATGAGGAACACAAGGTTTCGGAGTATATGCTTACTCCTTCATCATTCACCTGATAAAGAAGTAAGTATATACTAGAAAACATTGTGTTCCTCATAATAAAGAAGTTGACTTCCATATATTCTCTTCCTTACCGTATTCTTGTATTGAAAATGTTTTTGTAACTGATTTTCACAAATTACACTCAGATATTTCTCATGTATTCATGGTCATTTTTGCCTCATCAATAATTGTAAATAGCTTATTGTATATCTTTAATGGTACAGTTGGATAGCTCATGTTCAGCGCTATATTTTGAATGTTACAACTCCAGTATGGCTATAGTAGTTAGTTTGCTGTTAGTGTTATCCCCTTGTGTAGAAACACACGTTGGCTTGGCACCCTGTCTGTTGTATTCCCCGGCAGTGGTCCAGTCATCTAAGGCGCCACAATTCGATGCACAGAGTTGCGTCCCTTGGGCATGCCAGAAATCTATGATTGTGAGTTCGAATCCCGGTTCGCCCCGATTATGTTTCTAGGTTTGTCAGCACCATACTGGTGCTCGTGGGTTTCACCGAAGTGGTAAATGTCTGAGACCTGCATCACTTTGGGATTTCCTCCCACATCAAGCTGACACGACGTGATATAACTGGAATACTGTTAAAAGCGGTGTTAAACCAAACTCACTCACTCACCTTGTTCAGTCAAATTGTCTGTCTACGCATCTACCCGTCTACCCATCTGGTGGGTATCTGGTGGGTATCTGGTGGGTATCTCGTGTTGTTTTAGTTACTCCTTGTATTGCTGTAATACAGTTGTTTAGCTATCTGGTTGTATAATAGTGATAACTGTTAGCACTCATTGTGTTTATCTGATTCTTTATTGTCATTTATTAGTACAACTAGCCTTTATTAATAAACATCTGAACCTTTTACCACTAGTATTACTTTATTCTCTGTTCATTGGAGCACAGCTCCGTGACAGCGTTTACGTTACATTACGTTTGTCATTGATTTACAAGATGGCTGTGGCAATAAACACAGGAACACGGTACAGGTCAAAATAGGGAATTGCATCGGACATCTTGTTTTTGTCACTGATGCGTCTAATTTGAAAACGTCCACCTCATGTCGACCACAAAACTTTATGAAAGCTTTACTGTGGTTCTGAATGTTGTAACCTTGATCAAAAGCCTTTTGAACTTTAGTCGTATGACTCTCTTTATTTCGTAGAAAGAGTATACTTGATAGTACCTCAAAAGTAGTGAAATGTACACCCTGCACTATTGCTGGACATAAAGGTTTAGTTGCCTACTGGAAAGTCATCACTCTTGTCAAACAGTCTTGTGGGGTATATAACTATGCTGTGGAATAATGGTATCTTACAAACATAATTATTTTCCACATGCGTGACATTAGAAAGACTGCACCTTGACACATGCTATGTTAAACTAAAGCAGTACAGCCTTGATCATTCCAATTTGAAAATTCTGGTGATTTATACGATGGACCTTGTTGTTCTGAGCAAGATGTAGTAGTAGATATGGTTGATTCGCCACAGTTTGGGGAGTAAGGACAAAAGCCTGTTGGCGCCAAGTGTGTAACCGATATCACAAGATCGTTTAAGATCATTCGGTAGCAATCTAGTCCTTTATTAGTCCCAAGGAAGTAGTTACTTAGAATTATAATATATAATATACTTTGGTGTTAGATTTTCAGGACTGATACACATCAATGTTGGAAGACTATGAAATGAGTTATGTGCTATGGGGCATTGCAGATCAGCTGTTTTGAATGAGTGAGTGAGTGAGTGAGTCGGGTTTAAGGCCGCTTTTAACAGTGTTCCAGTTATTTCACGGCGTGTCCGCTTGATGTGACTGATACACGTCAATGTTAGAAGACTATGAAATGAGTTATGTGCTATGGGGCATTGCAGATCAGCTGTTTTGAATGAGTGAGTGAGTGAGTCGGGTTTAAGGCCGCTTTTAACAGTGTTCCAGTTATATCACGGCGTGTCAGCTTAATGTGGGAGGAAAGCCCGAAGTGATGCAGGTCTCGGACGTTTACCACTTCGGTGAAACCCACGAGCACGGGTATGGTGCTGACAAACCTAAGACATAATCAAGGCGAACCGGGATTCGAACCCACAATCATAGGTTTCTGGCGTGCCGAAGGGACGCAACTCTGCACAGCGAATTTCGGCGTCTGTTCTGAATGATGAATGTGTTCATGAATGACGGTTTATCTGTTGGTTTTCAAATTTTGATTTCTCGAACATCCATCTTTGATTCAAATTTCCATCGCACGTCGCCATTTGGAGAGACGAGCTCTCCCCAACTGTTAGACATTTGTCAAACGTCTTCAGGTAGAGAGTATGGTCCTGAAACAGACAAAATCAACATTGTTTAATAATTACACATGAAGTGTAGGTCACTAGCTCTACTGTAATCAACTTTACATTAAATAATCATCTTGACACACTAAAAAGCAAGATATGAATGGTTCTTAAGCACCGAGTAAAAATATAAACATAAACAAACATATGTTTTGTTTGTTTGTTGTTTGATTCCGCTCTTAGCAATATGCCAGCTATATGAAGGGGGTCTGTAAATAATCGAATCTGGGCCAGACAATCCAGTGATTGACATCATGGGCATTGATCCACACAATTTTGATACAATGACATGCATCAACGAAGTCAGCGAGCCTGACCAACCGATCCCGTTTGTCACCTCTTAGGACAAACATAGTCGCTTTTTACGGCAAGCATGGGTTGCTGAAGACCTATTCTGCCCCGGACCTTCACAGGTTATATTGTTTAGAATGTATGTAACCTTGGTAATCGCTAAATTGGGGATACAGTCTTGTCCTAACAAGTTGATTATTCAAAACTCTTTAGGGAAATTGTTGACTGACGTTTTGTATTACTTTTTCATAATAGTGTTTATTCAGGGGAACTATTGACTTGCTCTTGCATGTGTTTGTAACGGGGGCCACCAGTGAGTTAGGAACACCTGGTTTCATCACTGTTTGATAGTGATTCATAAACACACCCTTATGATATTGTCGGCACAATCGACTCTGCTTTTGGCAGATATTTCTTATGAATATGGAAAGGGTTTTGTCGCCTTTAATTAATAATTTACAATGGAGGAGTATAAAGTAATATTGCTTAAGCGGACCAAGGCAGTTGAGAATCGATATAATTCACATATATTAATGAGTGTTGTATAACGCCACACCTACAGTCGGGAATATTCCAACCATAGAAAGACGTCCTGTAAATGTGCGTGTTTGGACGAGACAAACCAGTGGTTGATGTTGTGAGCAACATCCGACTATGCCGGGGTACAATGACAAGCAATCAACCAAATCACCGAGTCTGACCTCCAATCAACCAAATCACCGAGCCTGACCTCCAATCAACCAAATCACCGAGCCTGACCTCCAATCCATTTTGTAGTACTGGAGGACAAGCGAGGCTTTCTGAGAACTTGTTCTATTCCCCATTCCTCCCAGGTTGTGTTGACAAGAACACATGGATAAAGACATGTATTGACATGTAATAAAATCAATATTGACACAATGTAGGTGCCTAAAGATGAAATAACCAGTTGAATTGTCAAAAAGAGTTAAAAAAATGAAAATATTTTTTAATTAATGTAGACACAGAAAAGAACTTAGGACCCGCTTTAAACAAAACACTTAAAAGCTACACTACTGTTCAGGAAAAAATCTAAAACACACAAACACTATGCATCAAAAGAGAATGTTTTCATCGATGACTCGCGTGCTGTTTCAAAGTATCAAAGGAACGGTTCTTGGAACCGACAACTTACATTCAGCATCCACATCATAGAAAACGGAAACAGAGGAAGCCAAATTTCTTTCTGTGAATCTTAAATGTAGAACGTCTTGAGATGCTATGATATGGTGTTTGGATAGACATACGTGTATGTCACACTTTGTTGTTAGTGCTACAGGTGTTTGGATACACATACATGTATGTCATACATTGTTGTTAGTGCTACAGATGTTTAGTTACACATACGTGTATGTCATACATTGTTGTTAGTGCTACAGGTGTTTGGATACACATACGTGTATGTCATACATTGTTGTTAGTGCTACAGGTGTTTGGATACACATACGTGTATGTCATACGTTGTTGTCAGTGCTACAGGTGTTTGGATACACATACGTGTATGTCACACATTGTTGTTAGTGCTACAGGTATTTGGGTACACAATCGTGTATGTCATACATTGTTGTTAGTGCTACAGGTGTTTGGGTACACATACGTGTATGTCACACGTTGTTGTTAGTCCTACAGGTGTTTGGATACACATGCGTGTATGTCATACATTGTTGTGAGTGCTACAGGTGTTTGGATACACATACGTGTATGTCATACATTTTTGTTAGTGCTACAGGTGTCTGGATACACATACGTGTATGTCATACATTGTTGTTAGTGCTACAGGTGTTTGGATACACATACGTGTATGTCATACATTGTTGTTAGTGCTACAGGTGTTTGGATACACATACGTGTATGTCATACATTGTTGTTAGTGCTACAGGTGTTTGGATACACATACGTGTATGTCACACATTGTTGTTAGTGCTACAGGTGTTTGGATACACATACATATATATGTCACACATTGTTGTTAGTGCTACAGGTGTTTGGATACACATACGTGTGTGTCATACATTGTTGTTAGTGCTACAGGTGTTTGGATACCCATACATATATGTCACACATTGTTGTTAGTGCTACAGGTGTTTGGATACACATACGTGTATGTCACACATTGTTGTTAGTGCTACAGGTGTTTGGATACACATACATATATATGTCACACATTGTTGTTAGTGCTACAGGTGTTTGGATAGACATACGTGTGTGTCATACATTGTTGTTAGTGCTACAGGTGTTTGGATAGACATACGTGTGTGTCATACATTGTTGTTAGTGCTACAGGTGTTTGGATAGACATATGTGTATGTCACACATTGTTGTTGGTGCTACAGGAGCAGTGCTTCTTTTGGTTCATATTCAGAACAGGAAGATAGATGTTGGGTTGTCAAGTGGTTAAAGCATCCGCTCGTAACGCCGACGGCTCAGGTTCGATTGGCAACATTGGTACAATCGCAGCAAAAGATATTTGAATGTTATGATGTTTAGTATGACCCTATATTATCGCTTCTCTATATTATCGCGGTATCGGTAAATCTCGTAATCCACATCCTCTGTTGACTGTTAACTTATGCAAATCTCAGCACGATATTTCATCGCATGATTGAATATATGACTCGTCGCTATGTCTCGGCTACCCGTTAGTATACACGTTTACGTTTTTATGATAGTTTCTGGAATGTTTTTGAAGTGTCATTACCCTACCTACATTCGAAAATTGGTTATAAAAGAATCCACTTGTTCGGACGATGTCCCTTGACCCACAATAGGTTGTATAAATACTGATTCTGCATGATTAAAAACAGGAAGTGATGTAACCCTCATCATCCAAAAGTATCACACCACAAAATAGTGATATAGAGTTGCCCGCCCTTGATTCGCTAATGACAGGTACTTTGTTTACCAAACTCGGCAAAGAAAATCAACATGGCTGAATCCTAACTGATGTGTCATAAACATTGAACAAAGAACAAGACATTGAACGAAGAACAAGAAAAATGTTGCGTATGACATATTTAATATGTTACTACGTATTCAACATTATGGTCCATTATAAATTAACTACCGCGATAAGATAGCGAACCATGCTAACATAAATTTCAGTAACATTGCGACAAGTTTGCATAAGAACCACAAGTCTCTTCAAGATGGTGGTTGGAAGACACGATTTTAAATCCAGTCCCGAGTATGAAATTATGCCTTTACGAACCTAAACATATCTATTAATTAAAAAGAAACAAAAGCAATTCGTTTGATCTCAACAGAGGTCAGCAGCTGCTCTGCCTCATGGCCGCTATTTTCCAAGTTCTATTTCAAAAAAGATTTTTTATAAAAATTTAATTATTGAATATTATTTAGGGTCTGGGTCGCAACTATAATAAACGACCAGTCCCTAAATCAACAGTATTTAAATAGAAACATTTGCACGATCTTATAACTATGATTCTTGTCAAGAAGAGATGAGAATATTTGACTGGTATGTCAATTATGATTTTGTTTGTTTGTTGTTTAAAGCTGCACTCAGCAATATTCCAGCTATATGACGGTGGTGTGTACAGAATTGAGTCTAGATTAGACAATCCAGTGATTTACACCATGAGCATCAATCCACGCCATTGGGATCGATGACATGCATCAACCGAGTCAGCGAGCCTGACCACCCGATCCCGTTAGTCGCCTTTTACGACAAGCATAGTCGCCTATTACAGCAAGCATGGGTTGCTAAAGACCTATTCTACTCCGAATCTTCACGGGTCATGTCAATTATGAATAATAGTATGAACATATCGTATCATGAATATGATAATGCAATATTGAGGGAATGTTGCAGGGATGTGTTTTGGTCACGTTACATGTCGTCCACCATAACCTTGCAGCAACATAACAAAACACATATTTAATGTTGTGGCTATGTTATTTTCTAACATTCATCAGCACAACAAACAAGAAACGATGTGACAACGTTGTACCCATGTGTTGTTTTGTTTGCTGAGATGTCTGAAGCCATGGGGATGTTGTATTGCTTGAGGAATGTAAAAGTGTGTTTTAACCCAGCTAATCACCAGTACTCCACATTATGAGAAGGTGAGTAGCGTTTTACGCCGCATTTGACATTTCCCGGCAATATCCTGACGGGGGACACCAACCCATACTTTGACCACAAGGCTCACTCCGCAATACAGATTCAAATACCTGCACATTATAACCATTGTGATGCTAAAACATTGACACCGGGTGTTCGCGAAACAGACGAGTCACGCATCACACATTCTAAGCACTCTATTCTGTCACTGCAGTTTCGGCTTTTCTATGGAAGCGTATTAGTGCCACAGTCATTTTGTTATCATCTACAAAGATACTACTTTCCTCTACGTAGATGAGACTTACATCTACGAAGATACTACTTTCCTCTACGTAGATGAGACTTACATCTACGTAGATTATACTGTGTCACTAATACACTTCCATACATACAAATATTCGTGTTTGAATAACCCTAAGGTTCTCGCGTTTTTATTTGATAATAAACGTGCACTATTAATAACATGTCGTATGAATGCATGTCGCTCACACCTCATAATGTGTCTTTGCATATCTGGTAGCTATTGTAATTTGATCTCTCTAATGTCAGTATAGAATGCGTGATCAGAGGGGTGGGTTGCTCTTCTCTTGGTCCA